CCTCTGTTTTTTTTTTCAAGGTAACACAGACACTTAATTGGCTGATAATAGTTGGCTTGAAATGGTATTCTTCAGGGGATTTTGCCAATACCATCTAATAAAGCAGGTTGAAATGGATACAAGGAGTCAGTTAAATCTCGCCCGCAGTCACTCAGAGGCACACAGGGAACTTGAGCCTCAAAGATGTAGTGCATTAGTTCTGCTAAGCTAACCGTGAATGCTAATTGCAGGAAGGACAAACTGTAACCCTTGCCCTGTGGCCATGAACCCATTAAACAGCACAGAGGGCTTCATAGACATGGAGAGCTTACAAAGAGGCTGGCCTGAAAAGGCCTGCAATCTGATTTCGGTTTAAATGGGGATAACAAGTTACTGTTTTCCAAAGCGCCCCCTGGGATCTGCCCTCCCCGTATTTTTTCGACAGTATAAAGAAAACTGCCTGTCACTCCAAAAGCTCACCGCAAATCATCAATACAATGCAACAGGTTCTATGTTTTCAAGTGGAATATGTTGTGTGATCCGCAGGACAGTTCTCACAGAGCCTGACAGGTGGCTCTCTAAAGGATGTGGATCAGTTATGTTTAAGTGCTTGTGGTTTCACCCCTGGAGGAAATTAACAAACCAGCCATGGTACATTATGACACCCTATACATGGGAAAGGTGTCCATCTTTTAGTTTAGTGGGCAACACCTTAAATACTTAATCAGAACAAAACCTGAATAAATCAATCAGTATGGCTGAATAAAAACATTTGTTTAGGGCTGTGCTTTTTCCTTGTCTGGGCGAGCAAAAGTCATAAATAAGAGTTCACTTTTCTATGTATTTTTCACCTTTAATCTCTGCAGCTTTGGTGCCCCCTGGTCATACATTTTCAAACATGACCCCAATGCACTGACTGCCCCCGCTTTCTTTACATAGATACATTCATCAGTTTGACAGGTGACATGAAAGCTCATTTGAATGCTGCACTTTTTTGCACCAATTTCCACAATTTAGCCTTTTGGAGTGAAGTTGAACGTAGAAATAATAATAAATCAGCCATGCTAATGTAGCAGCTCTCTGAGGCTGTTGAGCTGAATGCTAATGTACAGCAACATGCTCACACTGATAAGGCTAACACGCTGATATTTAGAAAGTATAGTTTACCATGTTCACCATCTTAAAATCAGCATGTTTGCATGGTAACATTTGCTAATTAGCACTGCACACATAGAACAGCGACGGCTAATGGGAATGTCATTCATTTAGTAGGTAATTGGTTGTAAACTAAAGTATTGGACACATTTGACTGAAGGATGGTGCTAGGTGGAAAGCTGAAGGATCGCCATAGTGGTTACAATTAATCCGGAGGGGGGCATGAATGTCTATCCAATAGTTGTTGAGACATTTCACTTATAACCACAAAGTAAACCTCATAGTGGAGCGGGAGGAAAAGTCAGTATATAATCGAAACCTGTTATCTAAATTCAGTATATTGCCATACAATCTTTAATTCACATTCTCAAATAACTGGTTTCACACATTTGTAGGCCTGACTCTAATGCCACACATTTCTTTTTACCATATGATTAATCTGCAGCACGAAGCCTCGGAGCCAAAATGGAACCTCAAGCCCAAAAACTGTGACCCCTCCTGTCACGCCCTCGAGATGTTTGATTTACTATAACCCAGCTCCCAGGTGAGTGTCCCCTTCACTAGTCAACCCCATGCTGCCTCCCTGCCCGGCCTGCAAAGAGATGGATGGCTGTGAGTGTGAAACCTAGCAGTGGGTTACATGGCCTTGAGCTTTACCGTCTAATTAGGCTCTAATGTAACTACAATGCTCTCGAGGAGATGTTGTCTTACCCGCCAAAGCTCTTTAAAAGCCTCCCCGGGGCAGGGGTAGCTCTGAGTGAGGTGCTGAGGCAGGCCACAGCCACGTCCAAGTGAAAAGCTCAGGTTTCATTCCCCAGATGTACTGGCAACAGGACGCCAGCTCTATACAGGACAAGACTAGAATCTTCCTTTTGGCCCGGTCTGACGGCTGTGTAATAATCAGTAATAATTATTAATATGAGGAGCTTTGGGTTGCCAAGTTGTGTGTGTGGCTAATGTATATCCTTCATGATAATAAACAGTCTTTTTAGCTAATTCTTTAAGTCATTAAGAAGAGTCCTCTAATCCAAGAGACAGCCAATCTTCTGTGAAAGAGCCACAGACTATCAGGAATAAACATTTTTTTAAAGTTATTAAATTATAGTTATTCAAGTACATAGTTGATGTCTTATTTTTGGGGTACATGGTTTCCCTCAGGAGATTGTTTAGCAGAGGTGGTCACATCCTGATCCTTATCCATCTCCTCTTCTGTCCAACTAAGTTAATTATGTTAATTATTAGTTCAGACACTCACACTGAATATATAGCTGCTGTTTAATAGCACTCCTGCTCTTGTTCTACCAATGTAATATTTTATTTCATAAAAATGTAGAAATTGTTTATGTTCACATTGGTGTGGCTGTATACTGTATTACCAACTTGGGGGACCATTTTTGGATCATTAATAACTTCAGACTTACTAAAAAACCTGCAAGTGACCAAGTTACTGCTCCCGGCCAAGAAATAGTGCAGCAAGAATGAATGTCCAGTGCAATGGTCTTCCTGTTGAATTTAAGACAGATGTTCAGCTATAAGCTGCAACCTGGCAACCCAAAATACGTCCTTATTAATGGTGTATTACTGATCTACATAGCATTTATAAAGGATTTATTAAATGTGACACTCTATAAGACAGCTTTAATATAAGACACACACAGACTTGCTTACTGAGACATGATCATTATCACATATAACTACTTAATTGCTGCCATCAATGTCAAATCAAATCAAGTTTTCAACACCACCTGCATAAAAGCATGTTCCTACATGATTAGGAAGTCTTGCAACGGAACAATTCATTTCTGTTGTGTAAATATGGGCTGTGTTATAAAGTGAAATAATACTGTTATATGCTAAATTTACTTAATAGCTCCATCTTTATTACTTGAAATCATGAATTTGTTTGCTTTGTTAAAGCAAGACACTGCATTGTTGCATGGTGTCAGTGTGTGTCCGTCTCTGGTCTGCAGTATGTGGCAGTGAAACAGAAGACAAACCTTAATACATAACGCTGTCAATATTTTCCTGATGCATCATGTGATTTCCCCTATTTCTACACAGCTCATGAAGGATGGTATCATCAGCTTAATATTAGAAACCAGTCCTGAGAGATAAGGTGTCTGGTTGAAGGTCATCTGTGCCCTCTTGAGTGAACATAAGAGCCTTTTGTGGTTGGGTTAAATGCACATGACAGGCTGTTGGAGCACAATCACCCATTTTAATTGTCATGTAATGGTTTCATGTAGAGCCAAAGTGTCTGCAACACTTCAGTGGTTGGAAACCAGAGCCCGGCCACACAACCACAGATGTGGTTAACTGGGCCTTTGCCGAAGGAACAAGGAGCGAGCTCTGTGGAGACAGGCTGGCAGGAAGATACTGATAGATAATGCAGATTTATCTGCTGCAATTTGTTAAATTACAGACTATCATAAATCCTTTAAGGGACTACAGTTGTAAGTCTTTGCGAACTGTGTGAAGGTTGCAAAAAAAAAACTAATTGCTTTAATGCACCTGACAAATTGGCTGCTAAATTACTTTTTCCTATAGAACAGCTATCAAATACAGACAAGAAAACCTTAACATTTTTAATGTACACTCAAAGAACTAAATTTTCCAATTTAGCGGAAGCCAAAGATGACAGGAAACAAGGTAATTCGCTGTAGCCCCAACGACAAACCCCCAGCCATTCTCCGTCTGCTTCATGGCCAGTAATTATGTCCCAAAATGAATGCCATTTCATATTAAGCTGCAGTCATAATCCAACGTCAAAGATGGACTCATTATCGACAATCATGGGAATTAGTTACATCATTTAACCAATCCGAACTAATCATTTCCAGGATACCGCAGAAGCAGATAGAGCCATTAGAAAAAATTGGAGCTCTTAAATAGAATAATTGACATCTATATCTTCTCTGCTGCTTTGGCTGAAGGGCTTCAGAAATTGCATTAGTTGCAATTGAAAATCTGAACTGGGGGAAAAAAAGACACCACTTAGACTTTTGCAGGGCACTGCACTGTTTGTTATTCCCATTCATACAATGCTCAATACTGCATTAAAAAGGTCTGCATTGCATCTGACTCTGTCACCAGTGTAACAACTTGAAAAGGAGAAGCAGATAAATTCAGCGATAATGATGAAAAAAGTATTAGCCCACTAAAACATCTCTGCTATCATCCTTTGTCTTCTTTCATTCAACTTTAATGAGAAGATTTGTTCCCCTCTGTATCTGGATGAAGGAGTTAAAAACAATTGCGCAGTAAAATCATAAACGTGGATAGCACTCAGGTCTGCAGTGTTCTTCTGCCATAGTGAACTTGAATTTACGACCAAGGGTACTTAAATGAAAATGCATCATTAAAAATGAGAGAAACCTAGAAATTAGTCTTATTTCTTTAGTATGAACCCTTTTCACCCCAGTCTGCCGCCTGGTCACCCAGTTTAGTGGTTTTTCTCCCAATTTCCCCCCCAACAATAAAGCAGAATCTGGTTTAGGCCGCAGACCTCTGATGTCTATCAGCACAGGTCACTGTCTGGGGGCAAGTGGAGCCCTCGGCAAGACGAGTGGATCATCGCCTTCCCTCAACACATCATCAAGAGAAAAGCCTCCGACACATTCCTAGGATTCCTGAGGTTTTCTTTCGCAGGTAGGACACGAGACAGAAGTTAAAAGTATGAACTGACTTTATGCTGTTGGGTCAAAATTTTAGATAAAGTTTTATTATACTGCACTCATATCTGTGTTAAAAGACTGATCCAAGGACAGCTTCAGTGTCATTTCAAATGCAAGTACATCTGAGGAGTGAACAAAAACCATCTTCAACAATTCATGTTTGATGACTCCAAAATGACCAAGCAGAAAATGTCAGGGTGTATATAAATCAGTTTTAGTCAAGAAAAACAATAGTTGGTTGTAAGAACATCCACAAAACAATGAAATATTTAACAAGAGCCAGAAAAGAGAAGAAAAGTTTTCACAAATACTACTTACAAGAAATAAAAACTGTTGTATTGGAATAGAAAAAAGAAATGACAGGAAACAATATGGTATGGTACACTGGATGCCAGCAGATAACCCAAATGTGATAAAAGCTTCATACGCAGAGGGAACCATTCCACGGCAGACTTAGGTTGACCTGTAAACCAAAAATAGGAGAGAACAGATTCAATCAACTCAGGAGCAATCACTGAACCAATGCATGGAGACAGTACTGCTATTTGTGGCAGAGGAAAATCATCCATCCTTATCACAATCAATACATTGACTAACGTGAGGTAAATCACTCTAAACTATTCTTTTAAAGCTGAAGCAAAGAATTAAAAGGAAACACTGCTTTCTGGGTATACAGGTGGGGTCAGTCATTCTGGAGAAAGTTAATAGTTGAGTGTCATTCCCAGGTCAACCAGAGAGCACAAACACAACCTGTTGTGTGGCTCGCTTCAAGCCCCTTTCTTTGTTTCCCCATTTCTTATAACCGAAGCTGCAGTATCTGACGGCCTGTGAATGAGACTCATGGGGCAGGAATGATACCACGGCCAAACGCGATGCCCCGGGATGAGGCCGTAATGCCCCTTGTAAAATTAACTATCCTCTTCATTTAACACTACATGTGACGCAGTAAAATAAACTCAGTCTTTGTCATCATGCTGTAGAGCCAGATTTCTCCCATTCTTGCAAATACATTTGTAACCAGAGACGGCTCAGAAAGTTCTCATTGTGAGTATTTGTGGTGTAACATTAACAGAGGGGTAGTTATGTTACTTTAATCAGCCACCAAGTGTGTAGATAGCTCAGGTTTCATTGTAACAGTGACTGAAAGGCTCTGTGTTGTGCTTGCTGCTACAGAAAAGAAATAAAAAGTCCCTGTTTACGTAACATTACTTTGGCTTCTTATTGTACTTTTTACAGCAGACTGTGAAAGATAGCAAGTTAGCAGCTACGAGTCAGGCTAAAGGCAATTCAAATGAAAACCTAAAACCACTCCACTACAAGTAAAAGTAGCAAAATGTACTGTACAATCCAGTATTGTAGTGGATTCACAACAGCATAGACACAAACTGGGTGTCAAGTTTTTATCTGTCGATCTTTGAACTGTCGGATATTGAAGAGTGGATGGACAGAGATACAGATCAGCATATGCTGCAGCTGGACGTGCTCCTTGTAAATGCAGCTGCTCACAGATTCAGCGAGTGGCAAATATACCGAGGACACGGGAGGTGAGGGAGACTCACTTGGGCTTGGTCTCGGCATCTGTGACTTGGCGGATGAAGATGGCGTCCTCTGGGTGGTTAATGTCTCCCATCTCGTGCATGTAGGAGGAGGCGATTGCGAGCAAGGTGCCGTCGTTATTGAAGGCCAGTGAGGCTATGCTGGTCGGGTACCTGTGGAACTGACACAGGCGCTTCTTGTTGAATGGGTCCCAGATGTTCACAAAGCCGTCCGAGCCACCTGGTGGAAGGAGAGGCACAAGGTCAACCATCAAAAGGTTTAGGCTGAGTGCTGAGATATCAATCTATAGTAACAGTGTGCTCCTCGTGCAACCTTGGCAGCTCAATGCTTAGAGGTCATGGGAATATCTTTGAGCTTTATAAAAACAAATTGCCCCATTATGGAAACAAACTGAATGTAGGAAGAAACAAATATCTGCTTTTGTCAAATACTAAGTAGCAAGTAATACCTGTGGCAAAGGTGTTATGAACGCTGTGAAATGAGATGGCATTGACAGGGTAGACATGCTCAATTCCATCCTCCTTCAGCCTGTGGCACTTGAAGGCGTACTTCTTCTTTTGAAACTCTAGGCTCGGGTCCAGGTACTCCACAGCTACACGTCCCTCGATTGAACTCAAGACGTAGCCCTGAAGCCAAGACAGAAAATATGAATCATCCAACTTCTTCACATTAACACAGGAATCGGTAACACGATGCTTAAGGTGTATTATCTGTCAATTTTTACTGTACGTGTATACCGTCTGTATCTTTCATCAGTACTGTGTACACTTAATTGATAAAAAGTCAGCGCCAAGTCAAAGTGCACCTGTTTGTTGGGGAAAGCTCTAATGCAGCGAGTCTGATACTTGAGACTGGACTCTCTTCTTTGCTGTACGTAGCCCATGTTCCTCAAATCCCACACCAGGACTCGTCTTCCAGCTGTGCCAACGATCAGCCTATCTCCAGCCACAGAGAGCGTATACACCTTTCACAAAGACAACAAGTGTGAGACAAAAGGGGAGACACAACACTAAGCAATGCCAAAAGTCTTAATCGAGACCGACAAACACATGAATGTGAATTATTCACTAATGTAATATACAGCCATTTTTCACAGTAAACTAAGAGAATTTCTCTTTGTGCACCAGTGGTAGGTGTTCCTGAAACTGCCATAATAAACATTCCTGCACACTGTACAGCTCCTCCTTCCTGTATTTATTTAAATAATGGTCAAATTATATCCTTTAATATTTATATTTATATGTATATATATATTGTCTCTATTTCATCTTATTTATATTTTTCTAAAACTATGTTTATTATGATGTACCAATATACCAAGGCAAATTGCTTGTATGTGAAAACCTACTCGTACAAAACACGTTGTGTCCTTCTTAAACATAATTTCAGAGATAGATCAAAATTACCAAAATGTCATGTCATTGCGACTTTAATACCATCTCATTTAGCTTTAGGGATTAAACCTGTGACACAAATATGCACAGAGAAACTAACTGGCTGTAGGTAGTTTGGATATTGCTGCGAGACGGACACCTGTTACACTATATCATTCTACACTGCGTCTCTTTGGCTTTACCTTCTCAGGCTGAGTGAAGGTGCCAGCGTTGCAGGGCGTCCTTGGGTCCCACAGCCGCACTGATCTGTCCCAGCTACCCGTTACCATGACATTAACCTCTGGACAGTATTCCACACAACGAATGGGGGCATCGTGTGTCCCGACTATTGTATCTGTTTAAAGAGGATATTAACATAACAAGCATAAACAAACACATACAGCAAATGAATCACAGTCAGGAAGATGTGTGACGGGTTGAAATGACACTGCTTTCTATTATTAGTCCATAGCAGGGTTATGACGTACCTTGGTCTGTATTCAAATCGTGGGTTTTTAATTGTGCATCTAACCCTCCACTCCAAGAATGTGTTGGGTCCTGCAAGTAAAAGAGGAATGTTATATGTGTATTCTATATTCTTTGCTTTGCTTTGCAGTGAAGAAACCTGAAGGAACCTAAAAAAAATCAGTGACCCACATAAAAGGCACAGTCAAGAACTGGAGCTGTGTGCTGGTACTTCATCCGCATGGTGTTGCTTGCGACATCATAGAGGCGGACAGTGCAGTCCCAGGAGGAGACCAGCAGGAACTGGGCTGTGCTGGAACTGAACTTGACAGCAGAGATGCTGTCCTCTGGTCCCTGGTTCAGCTTGTACTCGTTTGAGCCTGTCATCTGCGCAAAAGAAACACATCTTAAAGTCCGAAATCGAGACTCCAACGTGACTTTAATGAGACCTAACCAATACGCAGGGATGGATGCAACAACGGAGACACCTTCAAATATTGTGCCATCAAGTTTAATCAGCACCTGTCTGACATGGCTTAAAGTCAAAGCTATTTATAAGCCTCAGGAAGGTAATAACTGTTATAAATACATTACACTGAATCCCTACAGGTAGTGTTATTGTTCTCTTCCTTTGTATTCTTTTGACTGACTTTTACCCAAAACCAGATGAGCTGACAAAACAAATTGGTAAGCTCAGGATCCTTGCCTGTTAAAAGAAGGTGAACATTCAAAGACTTTCACGTCCATGGTACATTAAAACCGTAACATCTGGATCTGTGATTAGAAAGGTTTGCTTTGAGCTGTTAGTATTTTTCAAAAAATACTGCACTAACGTTACAGCATTAGATCACTTAACTGAGTTAATATTATTCCTGTCTGGCTCCTAAAATCAATAAGCTAGAGTTAGATAAACCACGCGTAGTATATCCTTTTGTCTGTCTGAAAAACGTCTCTTAAAATAAAATCCTCCAGATTCAACGTGGAGGAAGCGACTCGCTCTAGCTACTTCTTGTTGTTAGCCGAGCTCAGTCGCCACTAAGGTCAGCTCCACACAACACTTAACTAACACAAACACGGGTTTTGTTGCGGGAGCTGGTGTAACAATACCGTTGTTATGTTCTGATTACTTATTGCGCCCATAGCACACTGTAAACACGACTTGTTCAGCCACATCCAGCAATTACACCAAGCCCACTTCCATTGCTAGCGCTAGCGTCTAACGCTAATGTTAAAGATAAAGGTGCCCTTCTGTTCGCCGTTTCACTTTACTTACCGCTTCAGCTCGGCGACTTATTCTTCTCTTTAACAAAGCTAACTATTACGCCTGGGTTTACAATAAAATATAAAAACATATAACGCGGAAAATGCTATAAAGCAATGCGGCTGCGTGAAGCTAACTCCCTTGCCAGCGCTGCCGCCGATGCTACAGTGGTCGCTGATTGGTTGAAACGAAAGTTCAAACTCCCGCCTGCGATGTGATTGGTTGCTGTAAACTCGACGGATGTTTCCGTTGTCTCAGTACAGATCATGTGACACAGGACTTCACCCCACTGCCCCCCCCTCTCTCTTTCTTTCTTTCGCTGAAAGGAAGTATTTTCTCGGTATGAGTAATTGGCAATTATACAGTCAATGGTAATTGCATCTCTTTCATTTAAGATAGATACAAAACAAATACCATAAAATACACCACAATGCCCCTTAGTAAAAAAAATATATAAAGTAAATTAAATGAGTCTGCAGTGGGATTAGCCTACTACAAACGAGGAGAAATCAACAGTAGGAATATATAAAGGCTTTTTTCATAAGGTCGACTAGCTGATTTAGTTCTGTATGCAAGGGTAGTACTTACAGATATCCACGGTGGTTTATAGACTACTGTAATGCAATACATATCATGCGTAGCCATATTATTCTTTTATTTTTTTTTTTGTGGTTTGAGGAGAACTTTGCTCAAATGGGTCTATTCTAATAGAATAACAATCTGCAAGTCATAATCTATTTCAGTCCTCTCACCCAGCCTTTAAACATATCATCATGTCGTTAAAATGTGTGAAAATGAACGTCTCCTGTACGATTTAATCCCTTGAATTTGCTCTTTACTTGCGGCCATAATCTGTTGTTTGAGGTAGCCCATAGTTGTCTGCAAATTATCGGTTATTTAAGAAAGCATAAATGATGTAGCAAGAACGATAGCTGTGTAGCGAAGTGAAAGTGGTCTATTCCAGAATAAAACCCCAGAATAATGGGTTCTCAAATGCTGTACATTTCCAAAAAGTCATCAGATTAAAAATGATGATGATCATTAATTAGGCTAACTGTTAAAATGATTTATTTTAGAGGGCAGCATCATCTCTGTAGACCCTCATTGTGGCGTAAAGCCTCGTTATATATTTTTTTATAAAAAAAAAAAAGATAATTTGATCATCACAAATGTTTGAAAATCAAGATCTTTACAACATGACATAAGTGAATGACTCTTTTCCCATGTAGGCCTACATCACAATTATATTAAGGGGAGATCCATTTTTGCAACAAAATCTTTACTGAGTGTAAGACCATATAATATACAGAATTTCAATAACAATATCAGAGAAAAAAAAACATACACAAAAACAGAGGCTATTTTTGGCTCTTTCATGGCTTTAAAATTACCGGCAAAACATTGCGTCATAAAAACAATTGCCTATCACCTGCAGTTATTTTGGGGTTTATTTTAAGGATCACATGATTGTCCTCACTATTACAAAGAGAAAAGGGATCATTGTTTCTGTAAAAGTGAACTATAGGTGACAATGGCTGGTCGCCTAACGTGAAGCCAACAGTATTGCACAATATTGGAAAATATCAAAATATTGAATTCCACACATTTTGCTACAAACACTGACACAAATCTCTGTAAAATACATATGGACAGCCAACCCTGTTCAAAACAAGTTCTTTTTTTTTTCAAATTGAAAACATTAAAATATATTCACCCACTTTTGAGTATGTAACAATTTCACCAATAATAATAATAATAATAATAATAATAATTGTAGATTGTCCCTCCTCTAACACCAACTGAATAGGGACTTTGTCTCTTGCTCAAGGACGCTTTAGCAGGATAAAGAATAATTACATTTAATAATAATAATAATAATAATATAACAGTATTCCGTGTCCGTTTAATCTACAAAATATACAAAACTTTATTATTTTTTCAATGAAGGTCACTCTGATTTAAAAACATTTGTACAGCGCATGATGACACAGTCAGTGTTAAACGGGCCTCAGCAGTGGGACCGGGTGCGAATAGTACATGTGGTGGGGAAAAGCAAGCAGTGACTGGCTTCCCGGTGAGTTTGCAGCGGGGCCACCGGCCGTTTCTGGGGCTCCGTTCTCGTGGTAAAGTATGGGAACCCGCACAATCCTCTGCGCCGCCGCATGGCTCAGGTTGGCCGCCTCCAGCTCCGCGGCCAGCTGCCTTTTCCACTTATTCCTCCGGTTCTGAAACCAGATTTTCACCTGGGTCTCCGTCAGGTGCAGGGACGCGGCCAGGCCCGCCCTCTCCGAGCTGCTCAGGTAGCGCTTTATGTCGAAGGTGGACTCCAGCTGGAAGACCTGACTCCTGGAAAACACCGTGCGCGTCTTCTTCTTCCGACAGGGCTTCCTATCGGAGTCCAGCTCGTCCGTTTTTCTCCTCCAGTCGTCCTCCTGGTCTATTTCTTTCTTTGGCTCCTCCGAGTCACTTTCATCCAGCGCGATATCGTCGTCGGCACTTTCCTCTTTGGCATCTTGGTCACTTTTTTGGAGATCCGGGGAGCGCCTGTCCGGTGCCGGTGATGCTTCCCTCAGGCTGGCCTTCTCAGACCCTGCAGAAATAAATATATGGAGTACTCCATTAAACGTGTGACTGCAATGACAATCGCCTGTATTTTAATTCATTCCAGACATTCAGTTTGTTGTTGGAATATTCGTTTTTCCTTTTGTTAAAATACTGATATTTAATAGAGAGTTTATGGAGATGATTCCTTTTAATTTAGGCTATTACTCGTATAAAATAGTGGGCTATTTCCTGTTAAATGAATCTAAATTCCGACTTTTCCAGACTCAAACACAACATTTCCTTTATCTGCAGAGTTACAGTTAATAATATTTACCTCCAGTCCTCAGATGAGTCCCGAGCGTGTATGGATACCACCAGGTAGACGCTCTCTCCAAATACTGCGCTGATAGTCCAATTCTCTGTGTGGGCAACTCAAACCGAGGGAAAGACAAGTCACCGAGCCGAGAGAAGAAGCTGCCTTCAAACACTCCTTTGGATGAGCCGAGGAAGCTTTTCGACTTTGTAGGTTTGTCGTCAATGTTCAGCAGGTTCTTTATGGAGAACGGCGAGTCTTTTGCGGGTTGGCGAGTCTCTTGCGCATCAGAGTCTGCCATCACCGTTTACTGTCCGACGTGGATCACCATCAAAAAGGATAAAACACCTGAAAAAAGATTTTCTTGGTTTGTAGTTGCAGTAGTGGTGTTAAAATCACACGAGAGAGAAAGAGAGAAAGAGAGAGAGAGAGGGAGAAGAAAAACAGAAACAAGTCGCTCGAAGCTGCGTCCAGCTCCTGAGGATGATCAGAGTGAGAGCAGAGATCACTGCGTCAAACTTGCTCTGCATGGATTGTAATGATGAAATAAAAAATGCGATCCGAGTTAAAACGCGCTCGGTCTCTGCTATTGGGCAGGTACAATAGCAAATAGGGTTTGAGATGAAACCGTGAGGGGCTGTGACGAGAATAGACTCCAAAGAGAAAGGCCGCGCAAGCGTTTTGCCATCGGGCTCAACAGTACGCACCCACTTATCATCCAATTAGATTAAAGAGGAAAATGTCTCAGGGTTTTTGGGGGCGTGCGCGAGCCGCAATCACCTGTCAGTAAATTGAATAAACGGTCCAGGGATTAACACACCTCAGCGTGGAGGTGTAAGCAGCTTTAACACGAATATTACGCGAATTACGCACATTTTACGCACTAATGTAAGTCGCCGAAAACATGTAAGACAATAAAAAATGAGGAGACTTGTTATATTTATTTGTTATAGCACAAGAGGGATAGATTTCTATAGAGGAGGATGTTTGTTGAACACTGTGACCTGCTGAGGATCAACCTCGTATTCATCTGTTGTATTTCAAATATCCTCTGTTCCACCTGCGTGCAACAGGAAAGTAATATGCACTGTGCATTTCTCCTGGACCGGAGCTCATTCACTTCAGTGTAATTTTATTAGTCAGGAAGTGCTACAGGCAGGCATCAAATTGAATGCTTACCATTGTGATAAAGGCTTTTCAAATCAGCTTTGTACAAAAGCCTGCAAACCCACAGGGGCAGCAGGTGATCTAATGCAGGAGGATGACACAAGTCTTGTTTCTGTCACATATTACAACAATACCGGTGCTGGGATGCAACAAATTATCATTGTAATGAGACATTCATATGATCAAGTGTGATCAGATTGGATGATAAGTAGCAGAAGATAAAGACACAAAGTGAACAGGAGGGAGATTGAGTTTACATTTGTAAGCCTTCTAACTGCTTTTCTCCAGAGATTGAAGGAACTATGTATGCTTGAGACTTCACTTCAGGGAGAGGTGGTCAATCTTGGATTTTTTTTAATCAAACAAATGGCCTCTGCAATGCGCTTTACCATAAGACATAATGCACATGTCACTTAGAAAATCTTAAAGCAAATGCACAGGAAAAAAGGGCGTCTGATGAAAAAAGACTTGCACATAATTTATGTACACAGCTTTTGATGCATATGTTCTTCTTCTGCGTTTACCTATGAAGTAATATTTAGCTTACACATGTTAGTATACATGAGCAAAAATTAAAAAAAAAAAAGTACAAAAAACACAGCATGGGTTGCAATTAGGAATCATAATTTAAACCAATTTTGAAGCAGATGCAGAGAACTAATCGAATCAATTGAATTTGCTCAACCTACAAACATGCAGCATGTCCTTTAGCTTATGGAGCACTCTCCAGCTCCA